AACAGCAGTTGAACATGTGGTCAGGAAGGACTGAAGAACCACAACTCACAGGGGGAGAACACACGCTCCTGGGGATCCCAGGCCCCATGTTTCCTCTTCCCCCAGTGTGCCCCCACTGCCCATCAGGGTGGATCCTGACATCCGGGCATCTGAGTGAAGCAGCTGAAGTTCCAGACCCTGCCATCCTGGGTTTCACGGTCCGGGTTCTGATGTCAAGGGCCGTTTGGGCACCCGTGCTCAGCGTCTGGTTCCAGAGCCAGGACCCAAGCAATCAGAAAACTAAAGGATGAGAAAGATGTTTGTCCAGGTCAGCCCTAACGCTCAGTCCTCACCTTTGATGGGCTATTCACGCCAGCCCCCCAAGAGCTGCTTTGAGGCTGTCAAATCTCATTTCCCCTGCTGAGGTTGGAGGTTCGTCAGCCGTTAATAAACAAGTATCTATTTTCCTGGACACCCCAGTTTTCAGAAACAGAAACTTTAGAAACCAGTGGTACAGAACTGATGGAAAAGCCATTTACAGCTCAATGTAAGTTGATATACTTTTTTTTCCTTTCTGATTTGCATGAGATTATAAGCAATGAAGATGTAGGTAGTAAAATGGGAGACGAGCAGAGTTAAGGCACAGGCACCTGTACTGGGAGCAATAAAGTGTACAGCCAGAGGAAAGGATGTGTTTTGGGGTTGGAATTGTGCAGGGAAGGCCATGGGAGAGTCTCTTTGATTGGGAGAGTCACACTGTCCTCCCCAGTGCGGTACTCCTTCCCACGGGGTTTACAACCGCAAATAAGAACGTCAAGGCTTCCCAGAGTTCCACTTTCCGCACAGCACCAGAGTCACCTGACCTGCGCGACGACCTCTCCACGGCAGTGTGCCACTCGTGTCTCTGATTAAGAATGCAGAAAGGAGACAGTGTCTTCAGCCAGACAGAAGAGCTTGTAGTTTGGAGAAAAATAGCATGTGACTGGTCAGGCACATTAGACAGTTGCAGCAGGAGCATGAGTCCCTTCCCTTGTTTTTACAGCAGCTGATGATAGTATTTACAGACTACATAGTCCTCAGTGCTTTTTTTAGTATTTTCCTGCACTTTTGATGTCATTCAATATCCAGGAAATATTAAAGAGCTTTAATTAAGCTTGGAAGATTAAATGTAGTTTACATTAAGCCTGTAAGTGTAAGTTTAAACCCCTATAAAAGAACTGATGTTAATGCATGTGTACAGCTATGTTCTTTACAAGTGGGTGAGGCTGTGCAGTTGAACGTTTCAAGAAGCAGAGCTGAAAAAGCAAATTATAAGTAGGATTTTACATACCAGTTTATATATTTTTTCACTTCTGTGAAAATGTTATGTATATAGACTCATATATGCATAACATGGCCTTCTTTGGTTATTCACTACATTTCTATAATGTACTTCCAAAGAGTTTCAAATTCCAGCTTTTAGGAATCGATCATGTGAGTGATCATTCATCTGCACTCAATTAATAAGGAAAAGCAAGAAAGTATGATTATCTTAAATCTTTGAATCTGCACTTTGTACTACTCATAAGCGACCAATTGCTTTGTCTTCATGCGTGAATTCAGTCTGCTGTATTTTTCTTTGCTGATGAGGTCTTATTCAACAATGCCATATATAATTCCAGGCGTGTTTATGAACTTTATTTCAAACAGCGTGTAATGTAACAGACGAGAAAGGACCTGACTACATTTTTACGAAGACAAACTCTTCCTGATGTTTTGAAGTTAGAACATACTTGAACACCACATGAAACATTATCTCTTATAACTACAGTACAGCAGATTCAAGAAGTTATTATCAGGAGAATGATGATAATGGTGCAACATGATGCATCCCAACAGAGGTTCCTGTTGTAAATTAAATTAAGGAAAACCTTTTTCATATCCGTTTCCTTGGCCAGGACACTCCCATTGGAACAGAACTGCACAATCGACCATATGTAGTCCAGTTTAGATATTCAACTAAACTTTGTTCACCTTGGGGCTAAGAGCAGCACAGACTGCGTCCAGTGCCAAAGTTCAGCACTTTTCAATAACAGAGCTCTGCAGTGCTTTTTGAATTGCATTTTGCTGCATTTCAGAATACACTCCCAAAATAAGCCGAATTACATACGAGTGGGTGGTGGTGGCGGCGGACTGCTTTACGGTATTTTTCAGTACAGAATAATGCAGCAGGAGTTTCTGAATGACTCTTTCCATTCTCGACGAGCGGCGTTGTCTTGTATGGTTGATAACTCTCCATTTCCTGTCTTGGGGCGTGCGTGTGAGTGGAGATGTGCTGACCCCAGCAGTGATAAACAGCAAGACGAGAATGAGGGGGTTTAGCTTTGCCCTTGCTGGGAGATTCAGGGGTTGTGCTTTGAGCGATTTAAAAAAAATGGCTATCTAAACGTTTTTAAGCGGGAAGACGATTCGGCCTTTCTTTTTTAGAAATATTTGGTCACAGGCCTAAAACACAACCAGGAGCTCCAGCACTTGAATGGAACGCAGATCAGTAAGAGTCTTGCCCTTCTGGTGTTATGAGATGCACCACCAGCAGACAGTGGGGTGAACCTTGACACAGGGTGAGCATATTCCTCCAGACCACAAGCCCTGAGCTCAGTCTACCGGGCTCCCTGACTGGGTCACGCCGGATGAATTTGTTAAACATCAACAATACAAAAAAAAAGTTCGAAAAAAAACAATAGCAGGAAATAACAAAACCTTTCACTCCAATCTGTCATCAACATCGCCGCCTCGGACCATTGAGTTACATGGTACGTGTCTGCGTCTGGTTCCCTTTTCATTGTGCCCCTCTCCTTTAGGCCCTGCGAGTGTCAGGGGCGACAGCTGTGGAGAAGTTCACTTCACGTGTTGCCCTGTCTTTCATCGCACCCGATTTCTCTTCGCCTGAAGGCTCGTGTGGCCGATGAGAAACGTCCTGTTTTGAGTTTGTGAACAGAAATCCGCGGAGGGAGAGTGAGTGTGGATTTCTGGTCTTTGCCTAAAACTCAGAAGACGGGACACACGAGAAACAGTTTCTGCCTTCTTCTGGGAGAGCTACAAACTAACAAAAGCTACGCTGGGTGAACCACAGCACTCTTCCTCCTTGCCAAATTTCTTCAGGGGACGTCATGAAATTGGTACTTTAGTGAAGGAGACCTGTAGCTGGTGGACGGTAATTGCTTTTGGGAAGGTCGGATTGGTGTGTGTGTGTGTCTGGGGGGGGATTTGTCACTTTCCTGCCAAAACAAAAGAGTAGTTTCCTCTGACAGCGGGCAGCCCCCTAAGATGGAGAGGCCATTTCTTGTGGCCGCGAGTTTAGGCCCACGGACCCCGACCCCCCACCCGGCAATCCAGCCCACAGGCTCTGCGCGACACGGCGCGGCTTCAAAGAGCGATCGGCGGCAGATTCGGACAGGATATTTCCGCCTTTTGTTAATAAGGGGAAAAGAAAGAGAGATTAAAATATTTTTGAAAGCCCGGAGGCCGTCCTTTGTGTCTAGAAGACGCATCTGACGTTTTTCTTGAAACCTACATTACTCAGTACTTAATTCCCCATTACCAGAACTACGTTTTAATTAACCTGTTGACTCTTTTCGTGAATTAAATCTGACAGTTGTTTCCCTCTCGCCTCTCTGAAGATGGGATTGTAGGTAGGGTCGCGGGCGGTAGAACGTTTTTTTTTTTTCAAACAGATTTTCATATTTAAGGTCATATTTTCTGAGCAGCTTTTTTCAGCCTTTTAATATACACAAAAGAAAGAAACAAGATTGTGTATTGTAATAGGAACTGTCTATTTTTAAGCTTAAAACGCCCCAATACAGAAAAGTAGAAAATAATTTCTTACAACCCCACAGCGCCTCCTTGTGTTCCTCAGTAACCATGCACACCTTTTAAGTCAGTGGTGTAAACCTGCGTTACCTAAGCAACTCAATGACAAGTCCGAATAAATACGAAACGTTTGTCAGTTCTCTGTATTTTATAACTTTCCATGCGCCCTTGTAACCCTTTGTGGACTCAATGTTCGTATCAGGGCTCTGTGAAGGACACAACACATATTATTTTACTCTTCTATCGCCCTTCAGGTACATTTCCAAACACGGTTTTTACTAAGCTGGTTTCATTGTCATGCCAAAAACGGAGTTGCTACCCAACCAGACACAGTCATTGTCATATCAAAAGCCCAGTTTGTGCCAGATATGATGCGGTCACTGTCACGTCACACTGTGAGTAATAAAGACACCAGCACAAAAACACGTCGCCACAGTTCTGTTCAGTTCAGTTCATTTGTCCTATGCACAAGTGCAATGAAAAGCTTATTTGCATGTATGCTCCAAGACAAAGACATTAAAGGAATCACCACAAACATAAACACAGAACAGCTGCAACAACAGCAAGTTAACACACAACCTAAAAAAAAAGTCAGACAAGCAGCGCGAGACAAAAACCATCAGTGTGAGCCAGCGGGAGGGGTCAGGCCTTCGACTATCATACAGGTAGGATACGTCAGCTAGGGCAAATATGAAAGAGCACTAAAGAGTTCAGACATTAATGAATAATTCCTAAACATTCTGTGTCAAACCAACAAAACAGACATTAATCTGGCTTTACAGGATTTAAATAATAATACTAATACTACTACTAATAATAATTGCTTATACTTATATAGCGTTTTTCTGGAGTGTCCAGAAAAGCGCCATATAAGTGGAGCAATTATTATTACTTAAAAATAAAAGAAATAAAAGCAGACATAAACAGATAACTCTCAGAAACGCAGAAATCAATAAATCGGAACTGTTTCTGGAAAAAAATGATCAAGAAGATCAAATCAAGAAGAATTGGGAATCTTACACGAATTAGCCCAGAAAACTCGTTTTGAAAATCTCTATTAAAAAAAGATCCCAAATACAGAAACATTAATTGAAAACAACATGCATAAAACACATGAAGAAGGCTCCACAGCTGAAACGTTGTGTCTCTTTTCTTTTCCTTTCAGCAGGGAATAAACCTTTACCTGGTCCTTTGCAGCCTGCGCATGCTGACGCAGCTGCCTACTTGACCTACAGAAAACATTGTAATGTCAAAAGGCAAACTGCTGTCCAGTGAAGCACAGTCATTGTCATGTCAAAAGATCAAATCCTTCTCAATGAGAAACACTACTGGGGAAATGGTGTGGTGGAATTGTTGCATGTATTGGCAATTAAAACCGTTGTTTTTGTGCAAATCCCTGGCTATAGTCCAGCAGTTGCACTCTTAACTAAAATGCTGCTCTCCAGAATAGATTCAAGCACTCAGCTGCTGGCCATTGTTGTAGTGGGGAAGATAACCCTCGGGATATAGGAGTACAGAAAACCGGCACCTTTATTCACTGCAGCTGTTGTAGAGGGATCGTCACCGGCTTTCACCCCCTGAGCTCCAGGTGGCGAGACTACACCCCCACAGCCCTTTGTGCAAAGTCTCGAATCCCGAAAACACACATCGGAGCCAAAGAAGCACAATACCTGCCGCGTGTGAGCTTTCTGTGGCTTATGTACATAGCTTGTCTACCGCAATTTGTGCTTAAGCTGTATTTCCTCAGGTGGGTAAGGGGATCAGGTCCATATCTGATCAGCTCCCAGCTTCTCTGACCTGAATTTTCCCGGCCAACATGTCGCAGGATTTCTTGCTTCTGCTATCTGACCGAAGCTAAGACGTTAATTTCAATGGTTGTGTCGTGTAATTTGCTTACCAGGGGTCACTGTGCTCACCACAGGATTTAAATTCTAGGCCTTTCGCTGCTTAACTGAATGTAAGACTTGTGGGTCTTGGCTCAATTACATTTAATCAGAGCAACATATAATTTTGAGGTAAAAGGTTTCATTGCATTTTGAAAACTTTGCTTTAAACATGCGATTTTAACCGGCGCTGAATACGCGACACGCATGCGCTACTTTGAACTCTGGAGGAAGAAGCCGGGGCGGGGCTTTGGTCCGTGTTAACCTAACTTCTCCAGGAAATCCCTTAACGGCGGCATTTCATTGGTCGCGCAGCTGCCATTCAGCCGCGGTCACCGGCGAAATGGGGAGCGCCTATTGGTGTCTGACGCTGTCAATCACAGACGCAGGCCGGAGACGGGGCGGGAAGTTTGGTTGAGATAGGAGTGCTGCGGCTCCAAGAGGCGGAGTGAAAAACAGTGGAAATCAGTAGAAAATAATTCATTTTTATTTCAGTCGCCAAAAATTCGGACAGTTAGACAACATGGTGGAAGCAAGGGAAAGTCTCGGTTTGATGTAGGTAAACGTTTTAAGTACAAATGGCGAAAAGCGTGCTGTTTTTTCCAGGTTATTTTTTAAATTAATCCCTGCAGTTTTTTTTTTGTTGTTGTGTGTGTGTGTGTTTTTGTGGTCTGCTGTTGAATCAAATGGATGTTGGGTGATGTGCTCTCGGCCTTCGCTTTGCAAACACGATCATTTGGGAAGCGTGCGCTTTTAGGGGGACGCGGTGCCCCCTTTTTCCGAAACCTTTCCCTCGGCAGGGCTCCACGCGCGGCTTGGATCGGGCTCCCGAGTTTCCGTCTTCCGATGGGGGTGCGCCTTCCGTGCCCCCTGAGAAAACATGTTGATTATTGTTTGAGAATACCGTACAGCAGGGCCCGCTCGGGCTGATTTTATGGGGTTATTTCGTCGAAGAGACAGTTGAAAACGGCTAGTTGCGTTCACTCCCCACCCCCCCACAGCAGCAGAAGCAAAGGACTTGTTGAAACGGCTCCTCGCAAACGACGATAAAACATGGAGCCTTGTTTCCAGACTACTTTGAGCTCACACTAGAGGCCCGGCCTCTCGCCCGGCCCGGCCCGACCCGACCCGACGCGGAGAGCTCGGCGGTGCCCCGGTTCGCGGGGCCGAGGGGCGCCCGGGGGCCCACGCAAGCCATGAGCCACCCGGCCTCCGTGTCCCAGGAGAAGATGGATCTGGACCTCGACATCCCCGTGTCCCTGACCCAGAACGACGGGAACCTGAGGAGATCCAACAGTGCCCCCATGATCAACGGGCTGAGGTACGGTCGGGGTCCGGTTCTGCCGAATGTTTTTTCTTTGTTTTGTTTTTTTTTTTTGCGGGCGGCGGAGACGCGAATCCACGCTCCGGACTCCCGAGGCCCTGCAGCCTGTGGTACCGCTTGCGGAGCGGACGGGCAGCTGTGTAAGCGCTCCGGTTTCGTTTCTCTAGCACAGGGAGTCTCAGGTACCCGGGGAAGGGGCTGGGGGCGGAGTGGACGCGGGTTTTTATTTAAAAAACGTGCTTGTTGCTTTATTTTAAATCGAAAGCGGTCGATTGAATTCCAACTCATTTTTTTTTTTTGCCGTGCCGGAAAAGACACGAAGCACAGGTCCCGTCAGTTGAATGGAAAGTTCAGGGAGGCCGTGCAAGAAGTAATGTAGTTAAAACTACATTTCAGTGTGTAGCACCCAGGTGGATGTTACACACTGGTGGTGGAGGGGAGTCCCCATTACCTGTAAAGCGCTTTGAGTGGAGTGTCCAGAAAAGCGCTATATAAGTGTAAGCAATTATTATTATTATTATTATTATTAAAAAAAGGGAGGAAGATGAGTAAAACTTACTTTTTAGCAAATGACCAAAACACGTGTCAGGAGTCCCTTTAAACGTTGGGGGCTCTGCACTCAGGTTTAAACGACTGATACCCACAGAGCAAGGACTTGATTTAGAGATCTTGTACAGATAGTTGACTGAAGGAGAGCGCAGGGTTTGGATGGTAGGTGAGTCTTTAATGATGGCGCCAAGGCAGTAAATTTAGTCAGCAGTGAGATCTTCTGAACCCCTGAACCCAAAATGATCTTGTTTGAACTATGTCAGTGATATATGTGGCTCAAGGCAATTTTATGTGCTGTATCAAGTTTGAAATATCCAGCCAGCACCTGGTTGTTGCAGAACAGCATGTAGCGTCTAACCACTGGAATGCATTAGACTGCCACAGCTTGGCTTGTTTCCTTGTTCATGAACAGCAGACCCAGGCCCTTGTTTCCCAGTGATTGAGTGACGTGACCCACCCCTCTCCGTGCATGTTGCAGCCTCTCCTGGGCTGCACCCAGTCCGTCTCCCTCTCTCTATAGGAAGTGCGGACGACTAAGTGACATGCTATAGAAAATCACATGGAGTTAACAGGGCCACCAGTCTACCAGAGGAGTCTGAGTGGTAGTATAATACTCCAACACTGAAATGCTGCATTCATTTTCCAGGGATGCCCAGCCACGCTAAGCGCGTTTTAAAGTGCTTTCCCACGTGTGATCGGTTCATGAGTCTCAAAACGAGGAACGATGGCAGTGAAAGATGCAGAGATGCTGATGCTTTTGTGTGTCGGAAGAGTCCGGGTGATGGATTGATTGAACAACTGTTGTGTTGTTGTTCTTCAGTAGAAACAGTTCCAGTTTAAAACCATACCAGTAAATGGAAAGGAAAGAGTAGCTGGTCGTGACACCCCCACCCCCCTTCCCCCCGCCCTCATATTGTAAGGCATCACCCCCTCTCGTTGTGACTCAACGGTCTTCGTTCAGTGTTGTTCCCATGTCACCCCAGTGGAGTCATTCAGACTTGACAGCGAAACACAAACCAGGGCGCGCAAAGTAGGTGCTAAATGGAAGTGCATTAAAAACTGAGTGCTGGTGGCCAGGGGTTATGGGAGTGTAGAACAAGCTCTGTCCCGTCATGCTGTTTGAGCCTCCCCCCCCCCCGGCTCCTTTCACAAAACGGCTGGAGGAGATTCCTCGGGTTAATGAGCTGCTGCTCCTGCCTGCCTGCCTGCCTGCCTGCCTGCCTGCCTGCTTGCCGGGCGCGGGTGTCGTTGGCGTTTGTGACTGCTCCTGCCGCTCCGTCATCCGAGCCCCTCTGTCTGTCCGATTCCAGCGACCACTCGCAGGTGTTCCAGCGGGAGGTTCTGCGCAGTCGGAGGAACAGCACCACTGTGGTGAACCGCCAGAGCCTGGTAAGGAACCTGCACTTCTGTTGCCCCGTGAAAAGGAGGGAGGAGGTAGAGTCTTCTGCGTTATGTTGATCAGCCTTTCGCACAGGGATTAAAGTGGGGACTCGGATCTGCAGGTGCTGGTTATAGTTCACTGTGTTTTGCCTAGGCTGATGTGGAGGTGGTATTCTTCTCTGCTTAATGGGCTCTTTTGTCCCAGAAGGCTAGGGAGTGGCAGACTCACTCCTGTCCCTGGTGTTCATGCTTCTTTGTTGTTGTTACTTTAGCTGAGATTTAGTCAAGGTGTTAGCGGCCCGTTTCAAAAAACGGAGAAAGGGAAAAGGTATCCAAGAAGGTTGAGATCATTTGCATATGGGGAATGAGCTGGTGTTGCGTGTTGACCTGAAGACCTTTGTGTAGCTTACTGGTGCTCAGACTCTGTGTTTTACTGAAAGTCCTGTTCTGAGTGATGTGACTGGAGAGAAACCATTTTCTGGAGCAAACTTCAGGTGGGGACAATAGAAGTGAAATGCTCCCTGGGAATTAGGAAAAGGTGTGTGTGTGTGTGTGTGTTCCTGAGATCAAATGGTTGAGGCTTGCACAGCCCTCTTCGCTCAGTCTAACCTGATGTTCCCTTCTATCTTTGCAGATGGTCCCCTCTTCCCCCATCAGAGTCCCCAGCAGCAGACTCCATCAGATTAAACAGGTAACGTTCATGCATGGTCAGAGGCTTTGCTTTCCTACTGCTGTCCCTGATTATTTTGTGTCGTACCCATCTGATTTGGAATAGCCTGTGTTCTTTCACGTCTCGGCTCTCCGCAAGGAATCCTGCGATCGCACACGGGGAAAATGGTGGTGGGGTGAGGGGGGTGTGGGAAAACGTTACAGGCAGCACAGCCCCTTGCTGGAGGTTCAGGGCTGATTGGAGGAGAGGCATGTCCCCACGTCCCCCCCCCACCACCACCACCTGTGGTCTGCAGGTGCCTGGAAAGCCTCAACAGTCACAGCGTCCTTGAGAGACCCGCTGAGGAATCCTACCCTACCCTGGGATTAATCGGATAGCCTGTCTGAACACTGCTGGTAGCGGCATGACCCAGGCTCAAATCCCAGAGCTCAGCAAGCTCAACCTCAGCCTTTACGGTGTTGAGCAACTGGGGAGTCAAGTTATCCCCCTTTTTTTCTTAGTTACATTATACAGGGAGGCTATTTGGGGACTGCCTGTTAACGATTGGGGTTCTTCCCATTTTATCTGCTCTGGAAACCCACAAGTGAGGTTGGCCGGAGGACGTCAAGTCGGCAGTATTCATTAAGGTTGAATGACTTTGCTTTCCTGCAGGAGGAAGGTGTGGATCTGATGAACAGAGAGACGGCCCACGAGCGGTGAGTTGCAGCTCTTGCTCCTCTCTCTTTGCAGTGCCTGCAGTTCCGTGGTATTGCAGCACGCCGAAAACATTTGCTAAAACCGTCAGAGGGTCTGATCGTCTGGAGGTGCAGATTTGGAGTCGTTTTCAGCATTGACACCGGGGCAGGGGGATTTATTTAGTGAGCTTGTGTCAAGCCACAGCTGGGTGTAGCTCTGTGTACACAGCAGCCCAGGTGCGGGGGAGGGGGTGAGCTCAGGGTGTGCTGGTGTGACCTGACAGTGCCAGCAGAGGCCTGGGACTCTGTCTGAGCCTGCTTCAGTTATTTGTTCACAGAGCCTCGTCTGCAGTGATTGAAGTCAGTCAGCTGGGTGTAGAACTGCGGGTTCACTGGGCAGCGCAATGGGGCACAGTAGGGCCTGGTGTGGCCTGCTCTCTCTCACCCCTGTGCCGTTTCTCTGTCTCCCTCAGCGAGGTGCAGACGGCCATGCAGATGAGTCAGTCCTGGGAGGAGAGCCTCAGCCTGGTGAGTTGAGAGGAAGGGCCTCCCGGGGGCTTGCCGAGCAAAATCTCCCCCTCCTGCCTCGCTGTGAGCAGGAGGTCGATGGTATGACTCTTTCCTCCGAGCTCTGCAAGTGTTGAGGTCTGTTTGTCCTCAACAGCCAGTGTCCCCCGATGGATAAATGAACACTTGTCATGCTCATGCCAAAACGGCTGCGGTCCTGGATCAGCATAAAAAACTCGTGAGGGGACTGCAGGCGTCTGCTGCGCTTTTACTGTAGGGAGTAGATGGGACTTGAATATCTCCCAATTCATTTTTATGTCGGATGGTTACTTGATTACTTGCTGCATGGGGAGTAGTTGAAAATCATTGATTGGTTTGTCTTAATTGAATTTTTTTTTTTCATTACTGGGAGTCTGAAGCATTGTAGCTTGGAGAAAGCATGGCGGTTTGATAATTGTCTAGTCAAGTGTGAGATACTCTGGGTTGGGCGTGGGGAAATGGAGCAGGTGGTTGCCAGTGAGCCTTGTTTCAGGCTCCCCGTGCTTCATCGCTGAGCCTCTGCTCACGAGGAGGCAGCAGCAGTAGGCGGAGGGGGGCTGTGTAGTATTTTGCTCTGATGTGTGATGTTGAATGGCTGCTTTGTGTGGAAAGTATGGAGTCTCTCTTCGCCTTTACGCATGTGGCAGCTCCTCCGGGGCTGCGCTGCACCGTTCCCCTCTCTGTGGGGAGCGTGTGTGCTTGAGATACATGCTATAGTAAAGCACATGGAGTTAACAGGGCCACCGGTCTCCCAGCACAGGCTGTGTGGTAGTATAATACTCCAACACTGACACACCGACGCCCCGGGGCAGGACAGTGGGGGAAGGACGAGGCTCTTGGGAATATGGGACTGCTTTGCGATTCACTTTGTCTCCCTGAAACCGGGAAGGGTTTAGTCTGGCAGAGGGTCTTTACACTAGTGCCTCCCTGGCACTGCTGACGTGCTGTGGCACGGTTGGGGGTTTTGAGTCAGGAAGGATGCTCCTTGTGAATGTATCCGCGCCCAGGGTTTAGAGCGTGGACTGTACCTCTTCGTCCCAGAGAAGGGAAAGCGGTTTGGGATGTAGGCTTTTAATGACGTGTGGGTTTCCCTTTCCGACAGAGTGACAACGACTTGGACAAATCCTCCTCTCCGAAGCGGATTGACTTTGTGCCCGTGTCCCCGGCTCCGTCTCCCACCAGAGGGATTGGGAAGGTGAGCTGGGTCGAGACAGGAGACACTCGTGCAGTTTCTCCATCAGACAGGATGTTTTGACAGTTAAGCTACATTGATGAGAAGGATGTTTATAGTAAAATATTGATGCTGAATTGTTGTTAAAGTATCTGATGGAAAAGGGAGCCAGCGAATCATCCTTGCTCTTTTACTAAAACTTAACTGAGATTTTTTTTAATCATTTGATAGCAACATTACCTTGTTTTTAGTTGATAACATAACTTCATCAACCATTTGCGTGATGCTTTCATTGACAATGGGCTCTTTTTTTTAAACACCCCACTTTATTATATAGCAGAAACCTCTTGGGCAAGTCTGATACTTCGCCTGGTGTTGTTCTTTTGGGCCAGTATTAGGATTATTTCTAGTATTTGCATTGTTTGATTGTAACATGCCAGGCCTGTTAATTGTGTAATTGACTGATAATTGCTGGTAAAAGTTAATTATGTTGCCTTGGCCCTGTGTACACTGCTCTGGAGTTATAGGCTGCTTTGCTGCATGTTCACTGATGGGCCTTGTCTCCTTCGCAGCAATGCTTCTCGCCCTCTCTTCAGATCCTGGTAGGCACCAACGGTCTCCCGCCCAGCCCCATCCCAAGTCCCACCCGGCGCTTCACCACGTGAGTACTCGGAGCGCTTGCTGGCTCGCTGGCTGTGCCCAACAGCTGAACCACAAACATCTGCCATCCTTACTTCGGAAGAGGGCTTTCCGAATTGGGGGGGGAGAATCCATGTCGTCCGTGGTGGTGGTACCCTCGTCAACAAGCCGGATTCTTTCTCGGGCGTATTGACCTCTGACCTCTGAGGGCAGATGAGTAAGCTGCAGATGGTCCCATCTTGAAAAAGCATGAGCTGACTTGCACCTGGTGTGCGAGGTGCCTGTGAGAAAATGAGCTGCGATGCTGAAGCAGGGGCTGTAAAGGAGATTAAAGGCTGCTAGTGGATTGTACCTATGGGTTAGGACAGAGCTGGGCAAAGCAGTCTTCGTTATAATCTCCCCAGGTTGAACCTGCATGGGGTAACTTCAGCGCGCAGTAGCCAGAGCCACATTGCGTCCATGCTGCACAGGATGCAGGAGTGGAAAAGAGCTGCAGAGGCCTCACAGGAGGCCAGCAGGACCACACCACACATGACATAGCCGCATCACCAGGGACTTTTTCCTTCCTCCTGAATGCTGTACTTTTTGAAATACTATCCCTATTCAGCAGCTGATTGAGATGTGGAGAAACAAAAAAAAAACAAAACAAAACAGAGGGTTGGTGTAGATTTCTGAAATGTGCAAAGACGTAACTCCACGGGGCCGGGCCTGCTGTGGCCTTGGCTCCTGCTGCCGCCCCTGCGTCTCACGTCTGCTGTCTTTCCCCTTCCAGCAGGAGGAGTCAGAGCCCCATCAACTGTATTAGACCCAGTGTCCTGGGGCCCATCAAACGCAAAGGTAAAGAAAACCAAGCTGTGGTCTTCACTTGGGCAAACTGCCGAAAATGTGTGACACGTCTCCGAGACAAGGGAGGAGTGCTTCTCGTGAAATTGGCATTGAGAAATCTGCACGTTTTGCAGCACCGGTACTTAAAAAGATGTCTGGCTCGTAATTGAATAAAATACTTTCTGGGTGTTAAGTGGCATGTCACTTTTGAGGTGCTTTTTATGGTCTTTTAAATGTCCCTCCGTTTCCTTAACAGTTCCAGCAGTGCTTCTGAACCTGTTACAGAGGCGGACTTTTGCTTTAACTCCTGTAATAGTTACAGACTTGTTGGGGGGGAAATACACATTTGCAGCTCACCGATTTAAGTCCCTCGGGTAAACGGGAGCTGTTCTCGGCTCTCCTCGTGCTGATGCCAGATCTGTTTGATCAGTTGCCCATTTGTCGTCCCGGGTGTGTAACAGTCGAGGTATTGAAGAGACCTGGGGAGAACCTGCTGGGCTGTGGATACCTCTGGTCATGGCAGCTCTTCAGGACAGGAGTACCATTTTACTGTTATGCTTTTTTTTTTCTTTTGCAGGCGAGATGGAAACCGAAAGCCAGCCAAAGCGCCTTTTCCAAGGAACAACCACCATGCTCTCCCCCGAGGTTCACCTGCCCAGCCTGAGCTCCTGGTAAAAAGTCGGCTTTCGGGAATGTGGTTCTGCTCAGACAAGTTAGTTTGCGTTACAGATTGAAGAGGCGAAGGACAATTTGCAGTAGCGTTTCATTAAGGAAATGAACCGGGTGCATGCAGGTTGTTCAGAACACGGGCCTTTCACCTGTTCTCCTGCTTTGGCAAGAGTGCTCTGTTGCTCTCTCAGCCAGAGTTTTAACGCTGGTCATGCCCCCATCTATGAAGGGGCCTCTTTCACCCTTACATGCTGACACATGGGCGGGAGCGGGGTTCAGTTCCTGCGTGCTGTCTGTGTGGAGACTGTGTGTTCTCCATGTTGGCTTAGAATTTCGGCTTCCTCCCGCGGTCCTAAGGCAGGCTGGTAGGTTAATTGGCTTCTGGGGAAATTGTCCCTGGTGTGAGTGCGTCTCTGTCCCTCTGCCCATCCGTGTCCGGGTCCAGGGTGTATTCTGCCTGGCGCCTATTGCTGACCAGGATGGGAACCAACTCCCCCGTGACCTTGTATTGAATACCCAGATGGGTATTACAGCTTCAGGCAGAGCACTGTTGTCCAGTCTGTGTGCATTTAAACTGATTGTATGTTGACATGTTACAGTTTGTATTATAGTGCTTGTGTAGGTTTGCTGTGCTTGTAATTAATACCTAGAACCCAGCTATTCTTGGTATGTGCCATCTTGGAGTACATTTGACATTAAAAGTTTGTCATTTTATATTTTGGCACTGTTCGGCCTGCTTCCTCTTCCCACCTCTCTCTCCTGTTATACGGTTTCCTTTCCTGCCAGCCTGCTGTCTTTTTTCAGACCCGGATTGTCTTTGCCCGGGCCACCCTCCCTCCCTCTCTGTCCTTCACCTTCTCTTGAGCACGAGCGTTTTCTGCGGCCTGTGGGACGCCCCCGCGCGCCGCCGCATACTCTCACACACATGCGCGCTCTCTCTCTCTCTCTCAGTCTCTCCCCGGCCCTCCTGGACAGCAGCCTCAGCAGCGTGGGCTCCTCCTCCGACTCCCCGGCCAAGATCAGCATGGTCTCGGCCTCCCCCGACGCCTCCCCCTTCGCCGCGCTCCGTGACCTGTCGCCCAAGTGACGCCCCGCCCGGGGGAGAATCGGGCAGCGGCGACTGCGGCTCCCTCTGGACTTCATTGCCACCTCTCTTTCCAAACCCGCCCAGCCAGGTCGCCCTTCGTGAAATGGAAGAAAGTCGACTCCAGGGCCCTGAACTGTGCTTTTTTTTTTTGCGTTGTGCTGCTCCTCAAAAGTGCACTTCCTTTGCAGACAGACGTGGGCGGCAGGTTTGAAGACTGCTTGCCGTTTCCTCCTTGTCGGCTCCAGCTGCTATTTCTACTTTCCTACAAGGTGCTGACCCTGGCAGCAGTCTCCTCATCCCCTCTACTGCTTCACATCCGGATTATTCTCCTGGCAACGCGAGTTGCTGATGAGGGGCACCTTGTCCTGTGATGCTTTTGTTTCCCTTTGGAGTCCACTGTTCTCAATCCCACAGGACTCCAGGGTGATTCTGAAATACAAGCCAGGCATGGCTCTGTAGCTCACTGGTATGCACACAAGGAGAATGCTAGCAGTCTCCTTGAGATGAGAAGCGACTGTAAGAAGACTGCGTGTCTTTGGGCTCTCGTCTCGCTTGTGCTGCAGTGTACCGTAGTACTGCCAGCTCAGAAATGCTCGCAGGCTCAGGGCCGACCCGTGAACTGACACTTCTTTCCAGCGAGGTAATGAAACCGCATGTAGTGGCTGCGCATGTCTTCCCGCCCCACCCAGGATGTCCTGGTGTCTTCTCCACCTGCACTAACCGGCTGCAAGCCAACCGGCTTCCCTACACAGGGCAAATCCCAAGATTTCCGTAGACTTTCCCCCCTCCCAAGCGTTTTCCTGTTCCACGCTCGTGTTCTGCCTTGGGTCTCCTGAAGGGATAAAAGTCTCCGCTGGTTTGAAGACCGAGCCCTACAGTGCAGAGGTCCAGTGAACATCTCACCGTGACTGGCGACGGGGAAGTGCTTCCTTCTGGGAAGCATGGAAGACCTCCCGAGATGACGGTACAGGAATGCTGGAATACCGCTAAGAGAAGGCCGTTGGAGTAAGTCTGAAGAAACTTTCCCAAGGCCGTCCCTGGAGTCAGTGCTCCTGCACGCCGGTCTTCCTCGACTCTGGCATGGGAAGCCATGGATTGCTCACCTAGTTGTGGTCACAGGTGTTGTTGTGTCCTCAGCAGCTGCAGGGGAGCCCAGCAGCGGACAGGAAGCTCGGTTGTGGACATGGATTTCAAGGACTGAGATGAACAAGCGTAATCATCCGCCTTGGATCCAGGACAAAGGCTTGCCAACGCTGTCCGGCATTTCTGTGCTCGGGAATAGAATGAGCAGAAGGAGAATACAGCCTACTCCAGACAGCCTTGGATGCCGCGTAGCTGTGTTATATGGAAACACTATAGAGCGCTGTTTAATCTGGGTCTTTTCTTTTTTTTTTTTAAGCGTTTATTTGATTGTACACGTTGGAGTAACACTGTTACTGCCGGTGTGCCTGTGGCGTTCGGACGTGGGCTGTTGGGCAGATTCAGTAGAATGGCTCCCCTTCCTTTCTTCACCTGGTCAGAGGGGAGAGCCTGTCCCAGAACACGTCGCTGTTTGCGTACCGTGTCCTGCAGTGGAGCATGCAAACGTGCAGCCTAGCCCATCTAGGAAGCTGCTGCAAGAACTAGTTGGGGCTCATCTGTTTGCAGCGCCAAGGTGACGGAAGTCTCCAGAGCTTTCTCCACTGCCTACATTTGTGAAATCCACTTCTGTAGTGAGGTGGTTTAGGATTTTATGATTTAGTGAAGTTGGTATCTTTACAAAGTGGGTTTTGACACCAGTCCCGCAACTCTCTAAACGTAAAAGCTGCTAGGTCAGAAAATTTGAAGTTTTTAAAAAATTTTCTGGCTGTCTAATATGTTTGTAACTGCAGGCAGTATCTTCATCACTTTTGGAGGCTTATATTCTATTGGGGGGGAGAGAGAAGCATTTATACCACATCACTGGTCTCTCTCCCTTCCGGTGCATCTTGAAGGGCAGCACAGCAGAGCGCGTCGTTCACACCCCTCAGTGTCGAAGTTGTTTAAGTTTCTAATTCATCGTTAATGAATTAACCAGCACGCAGCCCCTCGCCGAGGGGTCTTGTAAGAAACGCATCAAGCAGAAAAAAGAATCTTAGGGTTCCGATGTGAAAAATGAGAGATACTAAGGGAATCTTTGTTTTGAAAGTAATAAATACAAGGTTGGATTTGGATTGTTTATTTCTCATCTGAACATATGCTGTAACCTACTGATTTTATTAATGCTCTGTGCCATTCTGATAAACATCATCAGAATAAGGGCCTGGAGGGTTTTGAGGAAATGTCCATTTGAGTCCTTAGTCTTCTGATGTATTTGTATGTAAATGACTGTAATTGTGTAAAAAGTCAGTGTTAATCGGGTGGTTGTAGTATTTTATTTTTCAAAATTCTATTGTTTTATAAATAAATCTATATTTCCTTTAAGTAGACATTGCTAGTTTTACAAAAAAAAGGCATGAAAAATGTAAAATTGACCATCTGACCACATTATGCTTTGGTGCAAAAGAACTGTAGAGGTGACTATAACCAAGAGGGCAAGTCCTGGGTTTATAGCAGAGATAAACCATTAATTTGAAATGCAGATTTTTTAAGAAAAAAAAAAGCTTTAAGGTTTGTGAAGCTGCAGTTTGTACATAGTTTTTACTTTAATATTTTGTTTTCCTCTTTCATGATCGCAAGAAGCACCTTGTACACAGTCCCTACCTGAGCTGTTACCCAGAATTCTCCTGTCCTGTGGAGTGTTTTTTTTTTTTATTGTTTCTTTATTTTTGAAAGAAAGTGCCCTGATGCTGAAGTACGAGGTAGCAGGCTGGCGTGCTGCTGCCTGCTGGGGTAGCCACAGTGTGTTCATATGCTTTGTGTATTTATGAATTGCTAAATGGAAAAGCTATTTTCTTCACTCCTGGTTTAAAAGAAAAATAAATTATTAGCTGTAAAAGCTTTTTTTATTTACTGTCATGCTTATCTTCCGCTAACATCCAGGCGCTGTTCTGCGCTGCTTCGTGAGTCCGGAATAGACCCCAAGGACCAAGCGGCACCGTTTGTGAGTGAATTGTGCTCGGGTGCCGAAGTGACCCCTGGAATACTGTTTTTCACATCGGGCGCTTGTGCAACAGGTCGTATGTGCCTTTATATTGAGTTTTATAGCACGTCTAAGTGAAAAGTCTCGGAACAGCTAGCTGCAACACGCGTTGGGTTGCAGAGCTGAAGTGATTGTTGAACGTGTTGTGGGGAGTTTTCCCCACTAAGTCTTTTCCTCCGCTTTCCAAAGCGGTGCATTAGGCAGCCCACCCCAACACGCGTGATTGCACCTCCACACAGTTCTACGTGTCGGGGGCGAAGATGGATGAAAACTCAAATGAGTAATTTAGTGCCACAATGCTCGGAGAAGTGTAAAAATTCATCTTGATTCTTGTCCGATTTGTGTGGCTTTGGGCTGTAGAACAGAACACTCGCGACACCCGTTTCTTAAAAGTAAACCGCACAGGATCTCTCAAACGACGATCTGTAATCCGGTGGTTAGTTTCTCCGCGTTTCGCTATTAGATGGGCGAGGGGTGTGGAAGTCGGACCCTCTGGGGCGGGGGGGCGGGGGCGTGGCTCCAGCACGGGCCGGGGGTGGGAGGGGGGCTCTCCGTCGCGCGGCTCCGCAGATCCAGGGGGAAAGGCAGGCAGCTCGCTGGTACCGTCCGCCGGCGACAGCACGCTGGCACGGCGTCTCTTTCACCAGCCCCGCGGGCGGCAGGGAGAGGAGGGTTCCGCTATGGACTCGGATTCTGAAAGTGGCGAGTAAGTGTTACTCCACGCGTTTTAAATCAGTACCGTACAAATCGCGTGCCTTAAAAGTGCTTTCATAACTTTAACACTAATGCGCACCTTTGTGAATGCATGCGATGCTTAAATATTTGTATTGTCTTTTTTTTAAGAGACTATACCACGCACAAGAATTGCTGTTAAAATTTGCTAAATACGTTTTTTTTTTAATTACCGACGTGAGTGAAAAGGGCGCTAGTGCTAGCACCGAGTATTACACCCACCCAAGCGAACGAAGATTGTTAGAAGTTACGAATTCTTTTCAGCCCCATGTTTTGAAGGGAATGTAAAAGCTCTTTAGAAGCGAAACGTATTTTGACACGCCAGTGGCGCCCAAGCCGCGCAGTCTCCAGTCCTTCGGTCCTCCGCAGCAGCGGCTGCGTCCTGACAGGGACCAGCGGAAAGGGCTGCTGCTGTCCGTCTTCTGTGAGGTGCAAACAAAAAGACCGAACAATAGATATTTATGCAACTGAACAAAAACGCCCGCAAGAATCTACCATAGATGCCCCCAGCGATCTAGCTAATTTAACACAGTCTTTAGAGGTCACTCGGCCGTCGTCTTTAGTCCCCTTCAATGGCTTAATAGGCATGAAGGCCGAGGTGGGGAGGCACCCTGGACACCGAGCGAGCGAGTTTGATCGCACAGCAGGGAGCCACTAAGGCAAGACTTTGTTGTTGTCGCCTGCCAGCTGAGTATCAGATGCGTTTTCCACCCCCTCACCTCGGATCCCTCTCGCATGGTTTCGCGTCGTTAAAATCGTTTCCTCTACCGCTTGCAGGACGGGCCGCTCTCCTCGCCCCGCGTGTTCTCTCGTCAGCTAAATAAAATCGTTTTAGTCCACGTCACGGCTGGCACCACTGTACGCTGCGGCACCTGATGTGCGACGGACAGAGCCCGCGTCGCGTTAGGGATAAAGGTCTAACAGGATCTTCGTTCTGCTTCCAGTTTTACTCGCAATTAGCGCCTACACAGGTGCAGTAGCAGGCCGATGTCAGCGCAGCTGATTTGTTGCGTTGACCTGGTAGGGGAACAACTAAAAGGTTAATTCCCTGCTAAAAAGTGAAGAAATTAAACACAACGTTTCGGGTGTGAGTCAGTAGTAGCTAGAACCTCAAGTGTCCCGCTCCAGACAGGAAACACAAAAGAAAACAACTCCAGATTTAGGGGGTACTGCAGCAGAATCGAGCCTCCTACAAATCTACTGTCCTTCGAAATATCCTCTTTGGAGGAGTGTAGATATGCCGACTTTTTTGCAAACTTTTGGACCCGGTGACGGTTTGTCGGGTCAGGCTGCAGCCGGGCGCGCTGAACAAACACAGATGCTCGTTTTGCAGGCGGATGTGTTTGGGCCGCACCGCCGTGAGGGGCTCCCGGGCGCATCTGGGCGGCAGATCTCTCCTCGCAGCCGGCATTTCGTCTCACAGCTCGAGTAAGTGTTTAATTACCAGGGGGGGGGGGGGCTCATTCATCAGAGCGGGCGTCTTGCCTCGCACGCAGATGATGGCGTGTGCGGAGCTCTTTTTAAGCACCAGATGCATCTGTTTTTTTTTTTGCGTGGCACCTGGGTAGGCCCAGGGAGAGAAATGGGCACCGGGACGCGGTTCCGACCGCTGCTGTGCCTCTGGAACTGTGGCTTTCAGGCAGAAAACGGGGCGCGGGTCTGTAGGGGCGCTTGGAGGTGAAGGATTTAGGGAACCAGCCCTCCCAGCGGGGGGGCAGAGACCCGGTGGGGAGCAGGCCGAGCTGAGCCGCACTGATCTTCGCGGGGGGGGCGCGCTGCTGGGACATTGTAACTGTAGTACAGGGAAGGCGGGGTTCTCCAACTCCAGCAGTGCGTTCATGAGCTGGGATGTCCCTGTTTCAGCCAAAAATCATTCGGGGGGCAGTTTTGTCCTGTATTCTCACTAACATTACCTACGGTCAGCGACTGACTGATCACTTTGCGTGGATCGGTTGTCATCCTCGAAATCGCGCAAGAGCTTCATTCCACAGTAACCCCTAGATGGCGCTCGTGTGCGAGCTAAACACCACGACTGGTTCACAGCGCTTCTCTAAATTTCGGCACACGTTCATTTGTCTAGCAATCTCAGTCGTAAGGCAACGGCAAGCGGCTGAAACACAAACAGCCCTGCAGCTCATGCCCCCCCGCCCCAGCTTGCACATCTGTCACATCACAAACATCTGGCTGGTTTGGGTGTTACTCCCGGAGTCCGAAGAATCTCGTTCCAGTTACACCACCGGCATCGTCTGCAGTGACCCGGCTGGGTGTTTCCCCACAGTCAAGTGGGGCTCTTGGCACGGAGAAACAAGGACGAGGTACAGGTCAGTGGCCACAAGGGGGTACCCTGAAAACCCGATGCTGGCATCCAAAAATGTGATACAGTGATCTGTAATATGAAACACTCCCCCATCACCCCAGCCATCACTGGTTTTGGTCTTTTGTGATCCGCCTTCCGCCTGAGGGGACCTGTGTCTCCAGACAGGCTGAAAGAGTTGGGGGTCCACCGGTCTCCCCCCGGTGCCGGGCCGGGCTGGGCTGGGCTGGACCGGCGCCTCACGCGTGTCGTGTGCTGTCCCGCGCAGGTGCGGCGACGC